GGAGGTGTTTCTGTTGAAACACACACAAAAAAAGTGATCTTGAACAAAACTTGAAAGCATGTCTTCTCTCAAATCACATTTTCTTTCCCGACATGATGTAAATACAAGAAGCAAACTCACCTGGTATATAGTTGTTTGGAGGTTCGATTCCTGTTGGAAAATTTGTGTTCTCAGGTATGGAATGAGTGTAGTCATCTAGAGGTGGCAGCTCTGGCAGGATTTCTGAGTGTCTTGGCACGAGAACAGGAGGCAGCACTGAAGTGTTGGGGAAAAGTTACCAGAAGAGATTTACATATTTAGAAAAATGGCTTTAAAATGTTGCCGCTCACCATTCATTACAACTTCTCACATTCAAACGGCATGATTTGGCTCACCTGGGGTCTCCACCCTCTGGTAGTGGTAAGGGTTGATGCAGACTTCGTCCTTCTTGAGGTGAAAGGCATACTCACAGGCCTCAATGGCACGCAGCTCGTGGTGGCTGTGAAGGTCTGGCCATCGCCACAAACGGCAGTAGATAACATGGGGAAGGCCCTTCCTGTGGGAGACCTGGAGACGGCCGTCCAAGGATCTGATTGAACAGCAAACAGGAGATGGTGGTGAGAGGGGCAGAACACAGGGGAGGTAGAGGGGGAGGAGTGATACATAATATGGCCAGGTAGGAGAGGTAATGGAGATGGATTGACGAGAAACAAGGATGTTCTCAGCAACCGTCACCTCCAACACTATGATGACAACTCTCCCACATCAAAGTTGTATACACAATAGTTGAGATAGTCACCTGGTTTGGTCAGGGTAGTTGTAAAGGCCTGATGTATCCCACTGTTCTATCGTATTTGGTGTACTCAGTCCCCATATTTCAGAGCAATTGCTGCACACAGAGAAAACAACAAAAACAAAAACAAAAAACAAATGATAAACATGGGACATGACTCATTCAGAAATATCAGTATGGGTATGTAAACACTAAAAGGCCTCTTTTATTGGAGTCTCATGGCAAAAGAAAGACATCAAATTTCAGCTCTGAAAATGAAAGATGGGAACTTCAAATAAGAGAAGCCTTTTTCAACCGAATCAAGGGAGAGAGAAAAAAAGCAAAACCCAAACATGGAATTTGCTAGCACGCACAATGAGTGAGACAAAGGGCATTCTTCACATTGTGGCATTGTATCAAACACTGAAAATAACTCTTTCACTATGATTGTTTATGTCAGAACTTATCTGGAGACATTCAAACAAACACTGAAGGAACACAGTGGCACAAGAGAAGGGGTGGCAACCTTGGCAAAAAAGAAAAAGAAGAAAAAACCTTTCCATTCTCAAAACACTGACAAGAAAATGGGCAGAGAAATGTGAAATTAAGACAAATGGAGAGTAGTTGCTTCTGAATAACAGGACAATAACAGATGCTACGCATTATAAGCTAAAAATACACAACAACATGCAATAGACTTCGTGATTGCAGTGGGATCTCTAAACTGACATTTAAAGTTGGAGTCGTCTGGCTCAAGACAAAGCTGGAAATCCATTTTAGTCCACTTACCCCAGAAACTTTTAGCTCATAATATCAAGTTGTGTTATTAGCAATTTCTACTGCAGGAAACTGCATGATTGCAACCTAATGTCAACGTGACACCTATCAAAGTCACTAAACGCTATAAAACAAACCAGTATAAGTACAGCTGCTTGAATGACATTACTTTTAGCTGACGTAGATACCATTTCATTCACACTGAGCCAGTCACTCTATCACTAAAACCTAAATGTCCTAGAACAACTCTCAGGAGATAAAAAAAAACAGTTATCTATAGACATCCAAACATTTGATGTGGTACTTGGTGGAACATCATTGAAAGATGTCTGTTAACACGGTGTTCCCACTGAATGCAAGTCTGGGTCATGAAGGCTGGCTGACAAAGATCCACATCAATTGAGCTTTCAGAGTTTCTCTCCCATGGGACTAATGCAAACTGTCTAACAGCAAATATAATAAAAGCTTTTAGTCACAGAAACATGAAAAAGCAGAATCACCAACAATCAGCAGTATTATTGTACCTGGGGATGGTAACACACTTTGTGTTACAGTTCTGTGTGGTGATGGCCTTCTCGAGCTCATCTAGCTGACCCGTCTTCTTCAGCTTCTTCACTAAGCTCTTCACGGCCTTCTCGCACCATTTTTCCTCTTGTCCGTTCTGCTCTGCGCCGCCCGCTCCTCCCGGGCTGCTAGTTGATTTCTTCCAGCCCAAAAGCCTCTTCACCACAGGAGGGGTGAATGGCAATATGGAGGACATCTTAAGCTGGACAAGCCAGGAGTCTCCACAGGACTTAATACAAGTTTTCTCTCACACACAGACAAGAGGGGACTGGGAGCTACAGTTTCGGGTCCTTGCTCTCAGGAGCCCCTCTACTGACCACTGAGTCACAGGATGAACTCCACCGCTAGCAGTGTAAACTCAGAAGAGACGGACACCTTGGGAGACAGGCATACACAAAGTACATCATTACAAAAAAAACTACAGAAAAACAACAGCATTTAAGCTTATAAAAATAACAGGCAGGCATATACAGTGAAACGCTAAAGTCTTGAGATACCCTTCATGTCTTTATACTTTTTCTAGGAAACTGGGAAATAAGTGTAGCGATTAACTAAAATGTGTGCAAACATAAACAGAAATGAAATACAGTTTATAAGGCAAAAACCTTTAGGGTCTTTAAGTATTTTTCGGGAATAATTCTCTAGGATTCCCGAAGGACATTTGATGGTATTCTTTGGATTTTGTCTGCCTTTTGTTCTGTTCTCTCTCAAGATGATCCTATGCTTGTTCAATAATGCTGAAGTCAAGGATCTGTGGAAGCCAGTCCATGACTGACTTTGCTCCAGTGTGTGTTTTTATAACCAGAAATGGTTTTACTGCACTGGCAGTGTGTTTGGGATCACTGTCATGTTGTAAAATTAAGCAGCAACCAGTCAGATTTGCTCTTGATGGTACTTTTTAATGCCTGTCATTTCACCGGTTTTGACAAGATACCAAACACTGCTAGTGGAAATGTAGCCCCAAGCCATGACAGAGCCTCCACCATGTTTTACAAATTGCTGTAGGTGCTCACCAATATGCCATATCTGTATTTATTGATATAAACAAAAAGAAATTCGAATTTGAATTCACCACTCCATAAAACCTGTTGCCACTGATTTCCAGTCCAGTTCTTGTGTAATGTGGCACACCACAGCTATTTCTACTTAATACTAGTTTATGCTGGCAAGTCATCTTTTGCATTTCTCAAATATTTAACTAAAGGAATGGGAACAAGTTGTGTTATGAGGCTGCCTAAAGATACACTTTAGGCATCACTTAAGATACAAATATGTATGAATGAGTCATAGGTCAGTGAGAATGGTTTAACAAACAACGGGACAGGGTCTAGGCTAAAAATGAGTAAAAAGGGAGCCAATATCCAAAGAAAACCTTTGAAACACCCTCAGAAAGCTCGGAGAACTACTGTTCAAAACCACTTAAAAAACAAAAGAAAAATGTTAAGAAATGAGGGCGGGCTTAAGCCTTTTGCACACTATTGTACTAGACACCGTTACTTCAAAAAGAAATAAGCAGGACCGTTTTGTCAGCAGCACTGACTCTTGTGTGAAGTAAAGAAATGCCCACCTGATGTTAGCTAGTCAAACACTGCCTGGCACCTCAACTATTTAGCTTGCAAAACAATAAAGTTAGCAGACCGGGTGTGTCTCTTCCGTGCCCAGAAACTAGCACGACAAACTGTTAAAGGGCGCTGTGAATCATATCAAATCAATGTGAGAGCATTTTGTGACAGCCAGTTAGTGCTAACACTGACTGGCTTTGGAAGGCCGGCTGCTAGCTGCCTGATAGGGGCCCTGCCTGGATCAAGTCACCACCAAATCAGTTTATCAGAGCTAGCTTGTGAATTTCTGTAATAAATCAAGCAAAGAGCGAAATGCAAATAAAAGCCACAGATAATGAAATTCAATAAACGATAGGTAGTTTACGGAGAATTCATAATCTAGCTAAGGCAGCTAACGTTAGCTTAAGCAAGCTAGCTGCCAGCTTGTTACCAAAAATCCTTTTGTTGTGATCCACGAAACAGCCTCCTATGCGCAACAGTCAAGTCGCGCTACTTTTCTACCTACCATCAGGCAGTCAAATACAGATAAGACACAATTTATCCAATCTCACAAAATGTCACCATAAGGGTATACACAATGTAGTCCATCAGTTGAATAAAGCTACCCGTTCTCTGTGTCTTTTACTCAAACATAGTAAAATGAGCTAGCATCTTGGACGAACTCTTCCAAACTGACCCTGTCTCCCGCTGGCTACCGGAGCTACATCTCCCACACAAAACAACACGCTTCAAAGTCAAGAAAGCCGCTCTAAACGTTCCAATAATTACCCCAGTCTGAAAATTCCAGCTTCCAGTTTCCGAGGAAGAGATGTGCGCCTCTCTAAACGCCTTGGTGACATAAAAATACATGAACGCTGCTGTACTGCAGCTAATTTTGACAAGGCTCTTCTCAACTTGCCACCAATGCTACACAAGCTAGTTAGCTATGTTAGCTAGACCGGAACAACACAACAAACCTGTTGGCTACGGGCAAGCGATTAGGCCCACCTATCAAAAACGTGATTGGAGGATCGGACGAAGACGTAACTGAATACTGGCTCTTGTCCTTGACAATCTTCTTTGTTTATTTGACAGCATGTGTTTATATCTGTCATCGTTTACGGAGGATTGAAAGCAAAACCGGTTCATAGCAGCATTTTTTTTATTACTTGGGTTATCATTATTTACATTTTCCCAACAAAATTAAATAGTAAATTGAAAAATAGGATAAGTTTTATTTTTCACTCCGGCTTATTTATGAAAATGTATCTTTAGAGCTATCAGGTTTGCTGAAAATTTAGTCAGAACCAATAGCTCCTCCCCTCAGGCAGGTGTTCAATTAGGTTATATTGGCTTCAGCTGGTGTCATTATAAAACGCTACATCTATCCACCTCTTTTGGCTCGTGTTTGTTTTTTGTGGCAATGGGTGGATGTTTGTTTCTCTGTCTGGTGTTATTATCAGACTCCTTACAGGGTGAGTGTGGGGCTACCAAAACTGCTTTTCTAGACCTTCTAATTTTGCAGTGACTACATTTTTTTTTTTTGTTGTCCTTTTTCTCTCAACTTAATTCATGTAGTTCTTTCTGCTGGAAGTGGTCTCAGAAGTTGCACCCGGGACTCTAAACTGTGCAGAGATGGTTCAGAGTGTGTGCTCTACAGGTATCTGTGTGATGGAGAGCGGGACTGTATGGATGGTTCAGATGAAGAGGATTGTGAAACATCATGCAGCAAAGGTATGAGACAGTGTGTATGTTAGATTAGACAAATTGAGTAGCAGAAGTAGTTGAAGATCACAACGGCAGTCACATGAAAGCACAAATAAAGACCATACAATAATTGAGGGGAAGCCAGATTACCCCCTAGAAGTAACCACCTGGTGACAGCTGGAAGGAAAAACTCCTATTTGACAGGAAGAAACCACTGGCAGAACCAGGCTCAGGGACAGCCATCTGCCACAAACAGTTCAGGGTGAGGGGATGTAGAGCCAGAGATAATAACTAATGATTAAATGCATGGTGAGTGAAGTAGAAACACTCAATGAAGCCTAGACCTAGTGCAGCATAACTAAGGGAGGATTCAGGGTCACTTGATCCAGCCTTAACTTTAAGCTTAATCAAAAAGGAAACTTTTAAGCCTAATCTTAAAAGTAGAAAGGGTGTCTATCTCCTGAATTCAAGCTGGGAGCTGGTTCCACAGATAAGGGACCTAAAGGCTGAAGGCTTTGCCTCCTATTGTACTTTTAAATACCACAAGTAAACCAGAATTCTGGAGACAAGGTGCTCTATTGGGGTTATTATGGTACTATGTTTTATGAAGAACTACGATTGTGCATGTGACTGTAACACCTGTAATGCCTGCACACAAGCAGATAAGTTCCAGTGTGCCCATGGGAAGATGTGCATCGAGAAGAGCCAGGTGTGTGACGGTGTACCTCAGTGTCAGGACCGCTCTGATGAGCTTCAGTGCGTGACGCTAATGAGGGGCTGTGTTCATCACTGTGACAACAAGACCCGCTGCCTGCCTGCAAACTTCCTGTGTGACGGCGAGGAGGACTGTACAGATGGCACAGATGAAGCCACTTGTGGTACCTTCTGATGTATTTATAGTACTGAATTGACACTCGTTTTTATGTTGGACTTGTGCATTTGTTTATTTTTTTGGTTTTGAATTATAATGCTTTCCCTGCTGTATTTTATTTTTATTATGTATCCAGGAGAAGACAAAAAGGAAGAAGAGACCATTACAACCTCTGTGCCTACAGTCTTGGTTGGCCCTTCTAAACAGTCCACCTCTTCTCACCCCATTAAGTGTTCTTTCGGCTTCATACCATGCAGTGACAACTCGGAGTGTATCCAGAACCACTATTTCTGTGATGGTGAAGCAGACTGCAGAGATGGTTCAGATGAGGCAAAATGCTCATCGTCTTGTGAAAAGGGTAACCTGTTTGTCATCTGCTTGTTATTAATATGGCTTTACTGCCATCTAGTGAGCAACGCTAGTTTCACATCAGTATTGGTGCATGGCCAGTTGACACTTTGGCTTTTTACTATCAGAGCACCCCTAAAAATTACTATAGCGATAGTATTTTCTTAAGTTATATTTTTCTAACTTTTCTATAGATGACAGGATGGAATGAAAACAGGCTAGATATCCAGTGTTGATGATGTCATGATGTTACAGTGTACTCACACAGAGCCAGGTTTGTCATTAACAGTCTAATAACTCTTGTTCCTGCGGCAGAAAGACGATGCTGAGGTAATTTCATGACACAGATAATTACAAGGCACTGCATATATGACATTATGATTGGGAGCTGAGCCCCCCCAGCATTGCCACTGCAAACTCTGACATTACATGGAGCCAGGGCACTATATGCAGATCAATAAATGTAGACCTAACTGTGGAATTTAGGATTAAAATCTCTTATTGTAACTGAAGCTCAAACTGCCAGATGATATTTGTATCAGCAGATAAGCTGGACAGTTACAAACAATCTAATGTGTATGCAGTAGGATGGTCTATGTGTTTGTAGATTTACAGATGTATGCACTACAAGCCTGAGCCCAAGTGAGAGATTAATGTGAACATAATAAAAAATCATTATACAATCTGTCCTTTGTAGACCAGTTCCAGTGTGCCCATGGAAGGATGTGCATTGAGAAGAGCCAGGTGTGTGATGGTGTGCCTCACTGTCAGGACCGCTCGGATGAAGCAGAATGCACAAAGTACATGGAGGGCTGTTCTCATCAATGCGACAACAAAAGCCGCTGCATTCCCAGTAGCTTCCTTTGTGATGGGGAAAGTGACTGCTCTGATGGCAGTGATGAGGCAAAGTGTGGTATGTGGGCATACTAATGTCCTACCTGGTTTCAGCTTTGCTTGCATATGAGTAATCTTTAATGCTTTGTTTGCCTCCCTCTTGTCAATATAGAAAAGGAGGACTGCAGTGACACAGAGTTCAAGTGTACCAGCGGCCAGTGTGTGTTGGCCGCAATGCGTTGCGACGGTCACCCAGACTGCCGGGACCGTTCGGATGAGGAAGACTGCACCAAAGTGCCAGCCTGCAAGACCAAACTTCGCTGTCCCCAGAGCAAGGAGTGTCTAGTGCAGGAGTGGATCTGTGATGGAGACCAGGACTGCAGAGATGGCACTGATGAGAAGGTGGATGCTAAAAAGCAGCTTCATGCATGCTAAACTTTGAGGAGCAACCATAAAAAATCTTTTAAAAATGATTTGGGGAGTGGTGTGGGGTTTTTTTTTTTTTTTTTTTTTTTTTGTAAGGAGCTAGTGATTTAGTTCAGGTCCTGTTTGTGGATAAATGAAGGGGAAATCATTGTAAATAAAACCAGACATTAGATGTTAGCTGCAGTGTACATCGATGTTGGTGTATTACTGTCATGCCCCTCTTCCTCTGACAGTTTAGATGTCAGGTTCAGAAGACATGAAGCAGGGTTTCTGCATGTTGTTGAATAGTACTTTACTCTCCTTTAAAACTGCTGCATGTCCTCTGATGGGCTAAATGTTCAGCTGGCCTCCTGCAGTTTTTTTTTTTTTTTTTTTTTTCTCTCTCCCTCCATGATCAGGAGTGAAGTGGTAAAGTGCATGTTTAGATGATTAAAATTTAATTGGACTTTCAGGATTGTCCTGTGGCTCCAGTGAACTGTGGAGAGTTCCAGTGGTTGTGCAAATCCAAGACCAAGTGCATCCCTAAAGCCTGGCTGTGCGATGGCATGAAGGACTGCAATGATGGCAGTGACGAGACTGAATGTGAGTAAATTTAGAATTATTCACAGAATTAAACATCAATGTGAAAACTTGTAGCAGTAAGGGTCTTTATCTTATTCCAGTTTTACCACCTGCTATATCTGTTTAGCACATAGTATAAAAGAGGACATAAAATATGTCGATGTTTGTCTGAGAATATTCTATTTGCAAAATGAGACTGTCCCAATTCTTTAATTCAAATTGGGATGTTTAGTTATATGAGCTGTAAAATGCCTGTAATGTGTAAATTCTAGCTGAAGAGTAGTAAATGGATAGTCATGTAATTTAAACTGCTGCTTAAACTTGTGTACATGAATGCTGTTCATGTTTACAGGTCCGGCTGTAACATGTGCCCCTCACCAGTTCCAGTGTGGCAGTCAGGAGTGTCTGGATCCAAACCTGGTGTGCAACGGCATGACAAACTGTGCAGATGGCTCAGATGAGGGAGGAAGCTGCCATACAGACTGTGCAGAGGAAAATATCATGCACTGCTCCCAGGGCTGCTACAACACACCTCAGGGACCGGTGAGAAGTCTGTCTTTAAAATTCTGTGTGCTCGATCAAATTTACCCAGCAGAGACGGTGCCTGAAAATGGATTGAAGGGTGTATGTAGCAATATTGCCATGTAAAGTCTGATTGTTCTGGATAAACGATCTCTTTTGTTGATCCAGTAAAGATGTATATGAAGGCTATGAGCCTGCAGTGACTCAAAGTGAGTAATCTAAATGTTAGATTTGCATTTGGTGTTTCTAGCGCTGTCGCTGTGCAGCAGGTTTCAGGCTCATGGAGGATGGGCTGGCCTGTGCTGATGTTGATGAGTGTGAAGTTCAGACTCCAGGTGTGTGCAGTCAGCTATGCATCAACGCTCCAGGCTCGTACAGATGTGACTGTCAGCCGGGCTTTATAATGGAAGCAGATGGACACCACTGCAAAATCACTGGTAAAGCTCCCTTTAATAAACAGCATGGCGTTGTCACTCTTGAAGTGGAACTGGACAAAGTTGAAAATGTCAGCACGCTGCAGCCACACCAAAAGCAAATGGGTTTGACTTTTGCCCATGCCCCATTTCAAGATTAATAACATTCTTGCTGCATTCTGTTAAATATGACAAAAGCAGATTTATATGTAAAGTTTGTATCTGTCTTGTGTGAAACTTGTATGAAAAGCACACGAGTGAAAACAGATAAGAGCCCTTGAAAGATTATATAAATGAAACTTGTATGTTTTGGATACTTACTAAAACAACATGAAAGTAATGAGAAAGTGGCCACTTTCATGAGTAAATCATATAAGCCTTATATGATTCACTATATGAAGTAGGCCACGTCTTATGCAAGTCTTTTATACGTTTTTTTTTTTTCTTTTTCTATTTCTTTTCCATATGGGTAGCGGGACATTTTGGGAATTGCACCCATTTTATTTATTTTCATTTTTAACGAGTACGCATGCATGTCTGTTGAAACACTAAGCCACATGCAGGAGACCACAAACTGGAAGCGGGGGTAAATACAGGGTGAGGAACACTCATTTTTCTGGTGTGTGACACATTTTCACTTCATTCTCACGCTCACAAGCTGCCCAAAGAAATCTCGTGCCAAATAAGGGCAAGGATCAGAGGGAGGAGAAGCAGTGGGCTCACAGTTGGTGAAATATTTTTATTTTTGTAATGTCCTTATACAAAAGCTTCTTTCAGCTGCTTCCTTAGTCAGAAGAGGTGACAACAGCAGATGGATCTGCATATTTGATTTTTATCTGGAGGACTTTCCTGATACAACCCTCTGAGGGACTCACTTCCTGCTCTCCTCAAACTGGCATCTTTTGTGTGTCAGGCAAATATGTAAACCACAAAATCATGTGTTTAATAGCATTACAAAAATCTAGCCATTCTGCTGAAAGACTCTCCCCTGCTTTTTCACAAGATTTTGCTCACATTTATTGAGTCTTATATTTTTTTTAAATCAACATTAAAAAGGTGAAATGGAGCAAAAAAACCTCAGTGTTGAATAACTTATGCATTATGATCATTTTCTTATCCCTCAGGTGAGCCCCTGCTGTTGTCCTCAATCCAAACGGATATCTACTTGTATGGCTTGCGTAGTCACAGCTTGGTTACATTGCCCTCTTCTGCAAAGAAGGCAGTCTTGTCTCTAGACTATGACTGGAAAGGTCAGAAGGTCTTCTGGGTCAGTCTGGAGATGGCTGCTATAATGTGGTCTTCTCTAGATCAGAAGATGACAGGAAGTCTGATTAAAGGTTCGTACAACTCGAATGTGGCTGGAGCATTCAGAGGAATGTCAGTTTACTCATGTCTGAAAGTTGTATCACGGAACACCTGTGGAAACAAGATGCCACTTGTTTCCACAGGTGTTCAGGCTGATTCTATAGCTGTGGACTGGGTCGGGAGGAATCTGTACTGGATCAATGGGGTGAAGAGTTATATTGCTGCCATCAGATTGGCAGCAGCCTCTGCAAGCTCACTGTACCAAAGCATCATCTTGGATGAAGACTTGGATCAGCCCCGCTCTCTTGCCCTGCTACCACAAAAAGGGTTGATATGAATTTAAAAAAAAGAAAAAAAAAAAAAAAAGACAGAACTGTTTCAGTTTTTGCAGTAAGCGGCATTCGTGGTCTCTTATTTCATCAGGCTGATGTTCTGGACAGAGATTGGTAATGTAGTGAAGATTGAGCGTGCTGGGATGGATGGGTCAGAGAGGAGGGCACTGGTGAACTCGAGTTTGGGCTGGCCGGGTGGTGTGGCTGTAGATGCAGTCTCTGAGAGGGTCTACTGGACAGATGAAAGACTGAAGGCGATTGGATCTGCAACTCTGGATGGCGACGACATTAGGGTAAAATGTATCTATTTAACCTATCCCAAATCTGCTGTTCTAGCGTAAAGGTTATCAAGCTCTGTCTGTGAAGGCTCTCAGTCATCGTAGTCTAAGGAGCTTGAAGAGAAAAGCCTCTGAAGAAGCTTCTGCCTCTGAAGAAGCTTCTGCCTCTGAAGAAGCTTCTGCCTCTGAAGAAGCTTCTGCCTCTGAAGAAGCTTCTGCCTCTGAAGAAGCTTCTGCCTCTGAAGAAGCTTCTGCCTCTGAAGAAGCTTCTGCCTCTGAAGAAGCTTCTGCCTCTGAAGAAGCTTCTGCCTCTGAAGAAGCTTCTGCCTCTGAAGAAGCTTCTGCCTCTGAAGAAGCTTCTTCAATCGACTTAAAGAAGTCCAGATGCTTTTCTTTCCAAACCTCTTAGTTATCACGCTCTCCTTCCATAACTAAAAATATCACTTTAGATAAGATACCTCTTTATTGTCATTGCGCAGTCATACATTGTTCAATGAAATTGGAAAACTGTCTCATGTCAGCACTACATACGGAAGTCTTTTCCCTAAATGACTCAAGAATATAGAGATGATGATTTTTGTGTAGCAATGAAAAATGTCTAACCTAACTGGTGACTAATACCCTTTTGTGTGTGTGTGTGTGTGTGTGTGTGTGTGTGTGTGTGTGTGTGTGTGTGTGTGTGTGTGTGTGTGTGTGTGTATATGTAAAATAATATAAATGCCGTTTTCAGATTCTACAGATAAAGGAGACCACAAACCCCTTTTCTGTGGCAGTGTTCAATGACATGCTCTACTGGTCTGATGCCAAGAAACGAGTGGTGCAGGCTGCTCATAAAATCTCTGGTAAAAACCATCAAGTTGTGCTGAAAAGGCCCAGACAGCCTTTTGCTGTGAAGGTAAGGAGTGATGTTGAATTAAAACATGTTAGGAAATGGGGTGGCATAATGTACAATTTTTGGATCCTTTCATGTGTTAAGTGCTCATACAAAGCTATTCCATTATGTTTGAAGATTTTTATTTTATTTTTTATTTTTTTTGTGTTGGAAGCAATTAAGAAGTTTTTGGGCACACCCTAATGGTTAGTCCTGGAAAGCTTGCTGAAGAGTTTTTAATTTAAAATGTTACAAACAGGCTTAGAAGTTTTTTTTTTTTTTTTTTTTTTTTTTTTTTTTTTTTTTTTTTTTTTTTTTAGATCATCCACCCAATGCTCCAGATGGGCACTGTGAACCCCTGCAAGAAGATGGGTTGTTCCCACATGTGTGTGCTTGCTCCTGGGCCCAGGGCTGTGTGCAAGTGTCCCCCTGGTCTCTTGCTGGCAGAGGATGACCTCAACTGCTCCAACCTGGTCAATTCGGCATTTCTGCTGTTGCTGTCTCTGTCCAGTGTCACTCAGGTTTTGCTAAACGCCTTAATTTTACTCAGTGTAACCTGCATTGGCAGAATATGCTGTATATGGATATGCAACTCAAATGTCTGATAAATTGGAACAATCTGCTCTGGGTAGAAACTTTCAAAGTGGGAATTGGGTTCTGAAAGAGGACAAAATCAAACTGATCTCACACACACACACACACACACACACACACACACACACACGTATAAAATGCATCCTTTTTTTTTTTTTGCTTTAGAAATGGTGTATAAATAACTGATGCAGCTTTCCTTTATGTGTATCCTTGGTTTTGGGCTCTTGAGCATTCTGTTTTGCGTCTGCACACCACCACAGTAAAATTAGAATTTTGACTTTGAAGACTTCTTGAATCACAGCTGAAAGTATGCACTTCATTCACATCTTCTTTGTTTGATTCTAAAGTCAACTGTGGTGATGAACAGAAGCAAACATTAGATTGTCATTGGACAAATACTAACTGGATTTAGATGCATTTATTAGGAAATGCTATTAAGGTTACTTGGCAAATTGCTCTGCTCTAAACTAATTGTTAAAACAGAACTTCACTCAAAAGTGAAGCAAACTCCACCCCTGCCCTTCTGGACAGGCTGTATCACACAGCAAGCTACATCACTAATCGAGTAATGCCATTAAAAATGGAAAGACTTTTATATAAATGCTTAATTATTATATAAAGACTCTAATCCCAGCAATCTCTGTAGATCTACTTGCAGTCCCAACACACCACAGCCGAGCTGAAGGGCTGGCCCGAGCATCTGGCCCTGCAGATACCGAGCGTGAACAAAGCCAATCTCATGGACTACATCCTCAAGGAACGCACTCTATTTGTGACAGATGATGCCACTTCTTCACTCAGCTCTTTCAGGCTGAAGGACTCACTCCTGACGTCTCAGGGCCAGCTTCTTGAGCTGCTGGATGACGCCGTCACTGCCATGGCAGTCGACTGGATAACACTCAACATTTATTGGAGCAGTTACAAACAGCCCCACCTGCAGGTCACTGCTGTCACAGGCACATACACAGCCATTCTCATAAAGGAGGGGATCAACAGAGTGGGTTCGATTGCTCTTCACCCACCCAGTGGAAGAGTTTGTTTCACGAATATGGATCTGGAGGCTACGGGCAGCACGGCTACAATAGTGTGCGCCAGCATGGATGGTGGTGAGCAAAGAGTGGTGTGGAAGGATGCTGTCCAACCAACATCTTTGGTCTTCTCTAATAATGGGGATAACATTTTCTGGGCTGACACGAGTAAGCTGACGCTAGTTTACTTTAGTTTTGTTGTTCCAATAGGTTGTTCTCTTAATGACTTGAGTCAAATGTTCTCAGGTTTGGGGACCATTGGCTCTGTCCTGATTGATGGATCTGGATATACAGAGCTGAAGGTTGATGACGGCCTGGCTGCTGTGGCTGTAAGTGACAACCTCCTCCTCTGGATTACAGTCACTGGTAAGAGTCCAAGCATGTACTGTAATAACTGACTATAATTCCTAAAATTCAAATGACATCTTGGCCCGAGCAGCTTTGGTAAATGACTACTTCATAACATGGATAATGGCTCCACAGGAATCAACATCTTTGAGTATAATTTAGTGGTACAACTGACCTTTTTGTTCCTTCAGACAAGACCCAACTCTGGTACAAAGACGCTCAGCAGGATAAGAAATTATGGTTTGAGGTTGGCACACAAGTGGTCGGCTTAAAGGCATTCAGCAAACGGAGTCAGATGGGTATGTAAGAACCACAAACGGAACACCTGGAAAGGCTAACCTGCCCTTTTTAAAGATGTTTCTACATGTCATGTACAAAAAAACCAAACTACCTCATACCTAATTATCTGCTTGATTTCATCAGGCTCTAACCCATGCACAGAAAACAATGGGAACTGTGAGCACTTGTGCCTCGCCACCCCAACAAGTCGCACATGCAAGTGCTCTTATGACCACATCCTTCTGAATGCCACTCAGTGCAGCCCAGAGCAACACTGCCCAGCTGGCAGCAGGCCCTGCCTCGATCACCTCTCATGCCTGCCTGTGGAGAAGTTTTGCGATGGACATGCAGACTGCACGGACCACTCCGATGAGAACTGTGGGACACAAAATTAAAGACTAAAACTGCTCCTGTAGATTGCACCATGGCTAAAACTTTATTTTATTTTTTTCCCCCTTTCATAAAGGTGTTGGCACCCAGCAGTGCCCAGGAGCTGAGGTCTTGGCTCCCACTCAACCTCACAGTTCTCCTCCTCCTCCTTCCAGTGTCTCTCCTGTCTCACAAGTCACAGGTCTGAACACAACACTGAATGTCAGCATTCAACGTGTGAACCTGGATGCCCAGCAGTGCAGCCAGAGGCGCTGCAGTGGTAACGGACACTGTGTAGAGACGAAGGGAGTTGCTACATGTGTGTGTTCACTGGGCTACAGCGGTGATTCCTGTGAAAACCGGCTCGTGAAAACCATGCAGGGTCCCATTGTCTACGCTGCCGTGGGTCTCTGTGCAGCAGTTGTGATCATTGTTGTAATAGTGCTGGTGAAGAGGAAGAAGAGTGCCAACTTAAGGTTTTTTGTTTTTTTTCTTTATTTAAATCTCAAATTTAACTTTTTCCTTGCTCTCTCTCTCCCCGTGGGTTTTGGTGTGGGTGGGCTACAAGACTTGGCAACATTTGTCCCTTTGCAATAGATGGTGTCCTTGGGTTGCAGCAATGTTTAGTTTTGTACACCTTACTGGGAAGCATTTGCACACATTAACCTACTGGTGGTTTGATGTGATAATTATTTTACAGCTCTTCTAATAGCAGCTCTAAGACTTGGGCACAGTGGCTATATGGTGTGAAATGCTAGCAACAGAATGCTAACGCTCAGGATGGCATTTATATCAACGTTATTAGATGTGGGTTAAAATATTATTACTATATTGATTTTATAACTTGAAATCTGTTTAATTGGAGGTTAGTTCTATTGGCTCTCAATTAAGCATATACAGCAAACAAGGATAGTGGTGATCTGCAAGAACGGATGTCCATTTGTGAAAAATCTGTTTGGATTTGGAATAATCTCAAGCGTGTGGGTTTTAAAATGCCATATCAATCCCTTAGTCGGCACATCTGGTTTCAAAATGGAATAGAATAAGCCTTTATTTTCATTGTACAGTGGTCCCTCATTTATCGCGGGAGTTGAGTTCTAAAAATAGCCCACGATAGGTGAAATCCGTGAAGTAGCCAACTTTATTTTTATTTGTTTTAAGGTCATAAAACCCCCTCACTACACACTTTATACACTTTTCTCAGACAGGCATGAACATTTTCATACTTTGAGAGTATTTAAACAAGAGAGAAAAGTTCATACATTCGTAGAACAATAAGTCCAGTATTATAGAATGAAACCAAAGGCACCCACGGTTGCCTTTGACGCTGCAAAACGTTTTGTCAGAAAACTTGCAAACATACAGTACAGCACTTCCAAGATTTATGAGAATTTGACAAGCTGAACGCATTCTGAACTGTGCAGGAGACATGGCACGGAGGAGATTGAGAATGGCCTACAGCTGATCAGGACATCGCACTGTAAAAATAAAATAAAATAAAAAATAAAAAACATGCAAAATTGCAAAAAAATCACTGAAGCTGGGAAAGGTGGACCACTGTACAATGAAAATGCCAAGATGGTCAAAACAAAAAATGCACATCTTAGGTTTCATATGAGACTTCATAAACCAAGTGGTGATTTCATGATAGCAGGTTCCATTTCTTATATGGTCTGCCCACCTTCCATATACAGTATCTTTGTATTAGGATATTTTCCTGTGACTACAAAGCTAAAACTGGGCGTAACCACTTGGAATGATGTCAACGGGAGTAAAAATGTTTGTCCTGTCCATTTGTCTGCTACTGAACCAATGCAATGTAGTGTTGCTACCATAATATTTGAGAGAAAATCCAACATGGTTTATAAGAAAAGTGAGCAGGCTTCAGTCTCTGGGCCATGAATCTCAGCACAATTTGCATAGTAATTCACTGATTCAATTATCCAGTCTAGACTATGCTGTTACGTTTGGATAATCAAATTTTTGCCAAGTTAGTGTGGTTATGGATGGTGCATCATTTTCATTTAAAAACAAAGTCAGGAACTTGATTCTTATTCAGACTTTTAGCGAAAATAACTTGGTGTCTCTACAGTTTGAGAACAGAGCTTTTCTGCATCACAGAATTAAACATGTTCTTGCTGCAGGGGAACTGGACCATCAGCAGGCAAGGAGATGAGCATGACTGACCTGGAGAGCAAAGCGGAGACCATTCCCACATCCCATACTGCCTCAGCAGAAAAGCCAGAGGTGGACCTCCCTTAAACCAGCAGCTTCCCGTTTTGTTGCTTTGTTGGGAGCCGTATCCTCTGTGGAATCGAGCTGATTTATGAACAAGTGATGTTTTAAATAAACAGTCTGCATTTTCCACAGTTTCCTGTCATGTTATTTCAGGTTGTTTACTGTTAGACCATCATTGTGAAGTTTGACATGAATAAGCATGAACACTTGGATTATAATAGATGGTAAAATGTGAGTGCAAGTCTGACTTTAATGCCTTGTTTTGACTAAAAGACCTTTACAGTTGTGTAAAGGGGGGGACTATTACTTAAACTGAAATAACTACGGTGCAAAAGTCTTGACCCAGCCCTAATTTCACAAGATTTTCCTAGGAACATAGGAAATGGGTGCTGTGACATAATGAAACTTGTGAATGCACAGGAAAAATGATACGAGGCAAAGACATTGTTTGTAGAATTCTAGCAAACTTAAACGTCAGTATTTGGTGTGACACATGATCATTGTCAAAATCTGACTGTACTTTCCTCATAATTCTGTGGGTTTTTTTTTTTTTTTGGACAAGCTCTCAAACACTGGCTGAAATGTAGCACGAAACCATGACAGAGCCTCTGTTTTACAAACACTGTTGTACTCTTCTCCTTACTACCAGCATACACATTGACAGCAGTTTGATTTGTCACTCATTGATGAATATTGTCAGATTTTCCCTGTCCACTTGTATAATTTGGCATACCTCAGACTTCTTTAAAGATTGGCTTCTTTGGTCTTTCACTTTTTTCTCCTCCAGTTCCTTCCATTTTTCATCGTCACACACCATGTTGATTTATGTCCAGTTTCTGGCTAGCAGCTTTTTGTTGCAAAACTACAATGTACGCCTCTCAAACTTTTGTCCTTAGCATTTTATTTTTGTAGATTCAACTAAAGAAATTACTTTTTTGGGGGGGGGGGCAACAAGCTGTTAGTAACAATGTGCCTTACAATACAACAAAACTGGTATTTTGCTACATTTTCTGTTGTGTAGGTGTTTTCAACTCTTGAATGGCTCGTAGCTAAGGAAACAAATCTTCTAAAAATGGACAGATACTGAACTAAAATTGAGTGGGGAAAAGCAGCAAATGGAACTCCTTCAGAAAACCTCGAACTTTTGCTAGAGATCACATTTTAAAAATTACTAGTCTGGCTCACTGTATGCAAAACAAAGAAATGAGTGGTGGCTTAAGACTACAGAGGACTGTAAATGATCAGAAATGTCACTTTTAAGTGTCATGGCACACAGTTGAAGCTATTATTGTTATGATTAATGTTTTATTTAGGTATTTAGGAGAGACATGGTTTGTAACACTTGTGGACAGACACTCTGCAAGGCTTTGTAGTCTTCGTGGTGATGTCACAATCAGCTAGGAAACAATGAATTGCAGTGATCCTTACTCACCTGAATTGTCTTATTTGACTGTTCTGTAAAACACAGGGAGACAAAACGGTGTCCATATAGAATATGTTGTTTCAGTGTCTGCGGAGACACTGGATATTTAATTAATACTATGGAACATCAAAACAATCCAAATCACGTTAGTACTTTTGCACTCAGTGCAAACACTATGCATGAAACTTTGTCTAAAATTCCTTAGGTATTTTACATCTATTTAAATTCTAAACCATTGTTTAAACCAATACCACAAAACACATGTTTACTGTGCTTATGAATAGGCACTTCTGGTGGACTTATTCTTCTACAACCATTGTCCTAGAATTTTTAGCGATCTGTCATTTCAGTTTAGCTGGGGGTGTTTGGTGATTTAGCTTTCATGGTTTTAGGAATCAGCACTACAGTGCATAATATATTGCCAGGAACAGGAACCCAATGATGGCCCGGTACCCACACATTTCCACGGCTATATAAAAAGAAGGCCAACCCAGATGTTCTATTGTTTGCTGAGGACTGAGCAGAAGTGAGAATTTACTGTAATCAGTCTGGAGCGTTTCTATGGTGAGGACACTCGACCATTAAGGTAGGTTCTCAATCATAACTTAGCATTTCACTTTACTGAACTTGTTTTAGTTCAAGATGTTGAACAACTTTACTAACATTCAATAATGCATTTAAATTGAATTCTAAAATGTTTACTTGTGTTACTCTTTAATTCCTTCAAATAGTAATAGATTAGTGGATGCAGCAATACCCTCATTTAAAACTTAATGAATTTTATGCTTGAGACAGTTAAAGGCAATGTTAGCAAAGGGTTGACAAATTTAAATGTAAATCAACCCCTCCCCCCAAAAAAGAAAAAAGATCTGTGCCACTACAAACATGATTCCAGAAATGTCTTTTTTAACAATATTTGAGGTGGAAATCATTTTTAACTGAACCAAGAAGAAGGTACTCTGTTTGTCTCTCGATGTACACACTACCAGTTTACCAATATGGTTCTTTTAGTTTGTTTCAGCAAATACAGGAAGGACAGCAATGGCAGTCCTGAGGGCCACCCTTTGCGCTGTCCTCATGGTGACTCTAGTGACAGCTAAACCAGTGAGTAGCTATACTACTTTACTGCTACATTTTCCCACTGTATAGCAAAGATTGGTGGATTTGTGACAGTTTCATTATAAAACAGGTCCATCTGAAAGAAAGTGAGGATTCACCCAAGTCATCAGAGTCCAGTGAATCCAGTTCATCAGAAGAGACCACCACTAATGATAGGTCTTCACAGGAAACCCTGCAGTCAAATACGCCGGATGCTACAGAGAACCCCCTGGATGCAGCACCGCTTCCCTCTGCAGATGCAGGACCTTCTCTGGCCACTTCTCCTGAAGACCCACAAACCTCTGCTGACCCAGATGCTTTACAACTTGTGCCAGATCCGTCTCATACTGCGATGAGCGTTGATGTTTCTTTAGATGTGCCCAATTCTGGTCCCACAAAGGACTCTGTTAACGCTGTTAACCCTACCCACATTCTACCAAACACGCATCCTTCAGGGCTTTCAGAGACTGGTGTAGTCATAGGTACAATTCAACCACAAGTCATTACCACATACCAAGGATCCACCCAGGGTGTCACTCCACCCTTTCCTACATGTGTCATCCAACCAACACCTACAGCCCCACCACTGATACTCCCTATTGGAACAACACTAGATGGTGGTCCTGTCTGTTTCACTTTCCAGGTCACAACTGCTGAGCCAGATCCACCTAGAGGAGACAGCATTTGATCCCCAACAGAACACAGAAATTGTTGTTCATTTAAGTTTGAGTTCAGCCTAGGTGACCAGGACAGACCACACTATGGCTGTACATATACACAACCTTGACTTGATACTTATATAGATGTCCTAACTACACATGGCTTTTACTTTGCCCTCAACCTTGGCAAATAGGGGGGAAAAAATGGTGCTAATGTATATGCTGTATATATACAATAAACACATCTAAAGCTGTTGCAATAACAAAAGTACAGTCACAATAAATAAATTAATAAACAGCTGAAAATTAAACTGATTAAATGTTTGTCTCAAATCCGGTGAACTGTTTAGTAAAATGAGTGTGTTTTTTTTTTTTTGTTTTTTTTTTTTTGGTTGATCTTTGTTTTTATTATTTATTATATTTTATTTTCAGATGTTACAGACGGGACAGACATGAGTGAAATAATAACTGTAAAATAATATTCATTTCTTCGATAAGAAGTGTGTGCTTCTAAAAGAAGCTAAAAAATTCTCAGTTATCGACTGGGAATGAAGAGATTATAAATATATTCGAGAATGCATATAGAGATGGACCCTATCAAAAAATCATTTACAAATTATATTGTTCACTGATCAATCTACGGGGTCATGATACAAGATATGTTAAAGGAAGATGGGAAACAGAGAGCAATCTATTCTTAACAGGAGAGGAATGGGACGGGATTTGTAGGCAGCAGTGGTCAGTAACAAGCTCCCCCTCGTGGAGGGAATTCAGCTGGAAGAATGTATTTCGTTATTTTATTACCCCAGCCCAAAAATCCAATTATTCTCAGAACACAACATGCTGGAGGCATTGTGGACATGCAACAGCAAATCATTTTCACATTTTTTGGGAAGGTCCCCGTGTGGTTCCATTTTGGAAGGAAATACATAAGGTCATGGAAACAATCTTCCAAAAGAAAATACAATTTCATTTTGCATTATTGTACCTAGGCAACCTAGAGAGTCTTAATCTATGCAAACCGGATAAGTATTTGTTCAGTGTGCTGTCGGTAGCTTGCAAAAAGGCCATAACTGGCCTTTGGATTAAAGAGGATATTCCTACCATAGATGAATGGATTGATGTGATATATAATATTTTTGTTATGGAAAGAATAACTTTTAGGCTAAAGTGCCAGGCGGACGGGCATACTTCTTAGTGAGTTCGTGGAGGGGTTTGGCTATAGAGATTGACAGACCACGTGACTTTCGCGCATTGCATGCCGGTAACTCGTGGCAAAACAATCCAAGTACTGCATCAAATGCAAGCATTTGCAGCACCGCAAAACGTTCATTCTTCGGTTCCAATAAATTCTTGCTTTTTCTTTGCCCCCCAAAAAGGTATGTACAAAACGAAGGAGAACAATGCTGGTCCGTACAAAGACAGAGTTAATGAAAAGTCAAAGAAAAGATACGAGGAAAAAAATCAAACCAGTGAAAGTGTCAGACCCTTATGAGCACACAGAGGGACAAAATACGTTAGCGTGCTGCCCAACTTTCACCACGCTCAGATTTATAATTATACGATTCTTGGAGTGAGTGGATACACTCCTGAAGTTTAGTAACTTCAGGTCACTGCAACAAGCCCAGGTACAGTTTACCGACGGATGGGTACAGGACCTTGAAATGCACCGTGTAGAACGAAAGACCATCGTACGTATCATAAGTTTACCAGTCTCACAAATCGTCGTCATAAATACACATTCGTTAACCGTTTATTAATAGGACCTTTGAGCTCAACGGTAATTAATTAGTAGTGGAAATAATTTCTGGTAGCATCACAGAAATGTAGCACTGACAATAATATTGTATGCTGTAATCGTACTGGGCAATTAGTGATACAAAACAACTGTTTTATCCTGTGAATAAAAGTATATGTTTTTGTCAATATACCATGGTAATAACAGAAGCGAAACGCAATATTGTGTCAGGACAATTCACTATTTATGCACAATAAATAAAGGAGCATTTGCTGTTGCATGTCCACAATGCCAATGGATTTTTGGGCTGGGGTAATAAAATAACGAAATACATTCTTCCAGCTGAATTCCCTCCATGAGGGGGAGCTTGTTACTGATCACTGCTGCCTACAAATCCCATCCCATTCCTCTCCTGTTAAGAATAGATTGCTCTCTGTTTCCCATCTTCCTTTAACATATCTTGTATCATGACCACGTAGATTGATCAGTGAACAATATAATTTGTAAATGATTTTTTGATAGGGTCGATCTGTTTATGCATTCTCGAATATATTTATAATCTCTTCATTCCCAGTCGATAACTGAGAATTTTTTAGCTTCTTTTAGAAACACACACTTCTTACCGAAGAAATGAATATTATTTTACAGTGTTGCTGAATCACATACCACCATGCCAATCAGATTACTTATTCCATGTGAGGGTGAGGAGGTGACCCTCCTGGATAAGATGGTGAAGGTTTGCTGCGTTTTGGTGAACAGTGTGATAAAAAAAAAACTGATGTGATGTTCTATAAGGTGGTTTTAATAAAAAAAGAGGCAAAAATTAGTTCGTTTCTTTATTCAACTTTTGAACAGTGGTGCTAACCCTAACCCTACTAACCCTAGTGGTGCTAACAGTGGTGCTAACCCTACTAACCCTAGTGGTGCTAACGGTGGTGCTAACCCTAACCCTACTAACCCTAGCCCCCTAGCCCCTTACCCTAGCAGGTAAACGGCACCGAGGATGGTGGCCGTTATGGGAAGAGGTAGAACTAGACCTACACCTAGAACTAGACCTACGTTCCTTGTTAGGTTGGTAATGTCACTCATTGCTTTCTCACACCTTACACGCCTGTGTTGCTTCCTCAACTCTCTTACAAGGTTGTCTATCCTATCATTAATCACTATGCGTTCCTCTATGAGGAGCTCTAGGCGCTGAGCTATTCTCTCCATTGGATCACTTTGGGGCTGCTGCAGGGACAAGGTCCAAAACGGCGGTACCTGCTCCACGTCACGGGTTCTATTTATGGACTCACCTGGCAACTTTAGTGATGTCACTGCTGATGTTGTCACTGTTGGTGTGACCTCATGACTCATTCATGCTATCTGAACTGTGGTGTAATTATGAGGTCACAGGGGGATGTGACACAACAGAGAGATGAATCTGGCATTGATATTTGACATCACACCAGAGAGATGAATCTGGCATTGATATTTGACATCACAACAGAGAGATGAATCTGGCAGTGATATATAATGCCATATATCAAATGATCACTATGGCATTACTGAGAGTTGAAAAACTGTCTAAAGTCTTTCATCTTTAATAAAATGATCAGCGTTCTGCTCTACCAGGTGTAACAATTGAGTTTAACATCCAGGCATCCATGAAAACGGAATTTATGACATTTAACGGAGTTAGAAGTTAGCAGGGAGTTAGCTCGCTAGCTTCTATCTGAATACAATATAGCATGTCCTGACTGCAGGGTTTTGGAAACAAATTAAAACGTACAACTCTGCTATCACTTCCAGCATAAATGAAGACAGAAAACTAAACAGCAGTGACGTTTGTGGGGTTACTGAAGTTTGGCTAGCTGGTATATAATGATGTGCTACGTGACCGCTAGCGACACAGCTACGACACAGCTAGGTCCACCCTACCAGTAGGGTTGCCAACCGTCCCTTAAAATACGGAATCGTCCCGTATTTCGAAACAAAAGTACACGTCCCGTATTGAGCTAATAAGGGACGCACTTTGTCCCGTAATACAGTGAGAATCAAAAGTAGTCTATAAATGTTTATGGAATTAACGCTTTGTTTGAAAACATAATTCCCAGCCCCTCTCCTGCTTTGTGACCAATGAGCTGACAGCACACTTATGACAATTCGAGTATGACAATTCAAATTACCGCTCATCTCATTGGTCGAGGAAAGGTCGCTTACGGAGAAAATACCGGAAGACAACAGATGACCACAACAAGAAGCATGGCCAACAGGGAAACAAACGCCGTCACTGTGGTGCAAGTCTCGGACGACAGTACACCTAAAGCTGGGCAGACACTGTGCGATTTTTTCAGTCGCGTTATTCAGCTCCTGCTCAAACTGCACGATTGACTCGCAGGGGTTAGAAGTTGGTAGGTCACGATGCAGGTCTCACACTATCCGGTTGTTCAGTCTGACGTCACTAGCCGTGTCTGGGTCTAAACTCCACTGCAGGTCCATATATCAAACGATCACTGTGGCATTACTGAGAGTTGAAAAACTGTCTAAAGTCTTTCATCTTTAATAAAATGATCAGCGTTCTGCTCTACCAGGTGTAACAATTGAGTTTAACATCCAGGCATCCATGAAAACGGAATTTATGACATTTAACGGAGTTAGAAGTTAGCAGGGAGTTAGCTCGCTAGCTTCTATCTAAATACAATATAGCATGTCCTGACTGCGGGGTTTTGGAAACAAATTAAAACGTACAGCTCTGTTATCACTTCCAGCATAAATGAAGACAGAAAACTAAACAGCAGTGACGTTTGTAGGGTTACTGAAGTTGGGCTAGCTGGTATATAATGATGTGCTACGTGACCGCTAGCGACACAGCTATGTTAGCATAATATAAACAAGCTAACTTTTTTTCCACTCGATAAAAGTTAACGTGAGTGTTCTCGGTGGTCAGAAACAAATGTAATCGCATGGCAGGATGCTGTAAAAGGACCAAACTTCAGCCAGGAGAACAACTGAGATAATCCATCCACAATACGAGGTTAGTCATTCATATACTGTTGCATGGGCTGGGCTGTAGTTACATCCTAAGGTTTTAAAAACTGAGCTTAAATAAATGATTAGTGGTAATAAAAGCCGAGGGAGGTCAACAGGGATCACTGACTGTTTTAGGAGCTTTTTGAGATCAAATAGAAGAAAATACAAAACATTAAACATGTTAACAACACAAAAGCCATATTAAACGCAGACTACTTTAGACCCGGAAGTAGGATTCGTCGCGTCATCACTGAACAACCGGATACCGCCCGATGCTCTGATGCGACCTGAGTGCTCACACTGTGCGTCCATAAAATTAAGGTTATAACAGAAAATCTGTCGCTCGCTCTCTCTGTCTCTCACTCACACAGACACACCACCACCATCAACTTTGCTAAATTGCTAATGAAAAACATGATCAGGCAGCTGTGATTTAGCAGCGATGTAGATCCAACTATTTTCACGGTTGTTGTGGTCGTGATAATTTTGTGAGGCCACATCGAAAAGGCTCGGATGAGCTTTTCAAAGTTCTACAAGTTGTGCCTCCATCGCTTGTGTCCAGATCACACGCTGCACAGCCGT